AAAAAAAAAAAAAAAAAAAAAAAAAAAAGAGGATTAATAAAAATTCAAATTGAAGTCCTTGGCGATCGATCAAGGTTATGTTATGATACAAATAAAACCATGGCTACAAGAAACACAACAAATGCAAGCTGTAGACAAACTTGGTTATTCTAGTGCGCACTATTGGGTTTCTTTCTGGCTTTTGTCGAACTCAAGTAGGTTGTTATCTACTCGAGTAGCTGTCCACACTGTTGTCATTAAGTATAGCAACCTTTAAAATATGCTAATTGCAAGGTATTAGACGGTGATTGATGCCAATATATAGTGTTTTCTAATGACTTCGAAGAGCCTTAAGTTCAAGTGTAAATGACCTTCCAAAAGTATTAGAGCTTTTTAAATATATTTGTTTTACTAAAGGGAACTTCCAAATCAGTTCTGCAAAGTTATTATGCTGTATTTTCATAATTGGTTCTTGTTTCTATGGAAGTATCTTTGTCCCTTGGGTCTTAAAATTGCTTTTACGTGATCTGATATGACTTCGTCTCTGGTTGAAAGATTGTGTCATCATRCAGTTCAGTGACTTCCATTATTGTTACTGCTTTCGGAAAAGAATTGAATAGTAATTAGAAGGATCTATTTCACAATTAGTCGGCCTTGCTGGCCAGTGCTCGGCTTCAATAGCCTTATCAACGTCAATACTTACAAAACCTGTAGTTTTTGCTGGAAGGTACTATGTGCTTAGCACCTGAATATTCGACAAAGTAAATATTTAATAATTAATGGCTTAATCACCCAATCACATCCTTTCAGACTTTATTCGTTTAGGAGAATGTGACGTCAATGCGTCCGTCTTGAGTGTAGAGAAAGACTCTTGTTTGGCGTTGCAGTGAGCTAGCGCATAAGCTAGACTACAGTTCCAAGTTCTAATTTTGAGCTTCTTATTGACAAAACAATCCATTATACCCGTGTTGCTTTTTAGTGATACTTCTCCATACACCAAACAAATTTTGAGTCAAACCCAAAACGCTATTTTAATTTCAGTTCCGGAAATTTCATATTTTCTCATTAGTCTGTGTTCGAACAAATATATCGAGTTCCCAGATGTGCATTGTAGTAAAAGAGAGCACCCCGCTGATGAGGCTCTGGTTCTGTTGGAAAGCGTATTCTGATTCAAATTTGCATTTAATATAATCAGAGCTATTTTTAACTTCCAAATCTTCTGAGGACAGTCAAACTACCTAAATTCGAAAGATCCTAGATAAACCAAATTTGTATAACTTCGAAAGATTCCACTCAAGGTAGTTATTCCTGTTTTGGAAAATATAATAATTCCGTTTTCTTCCGAGGGTTTTTTGTTTGCGCTAGTCATTAATTTTTCAATACGTATGAGTGGTTCGATAAACACTCCGCGAAAATTCTAGCCCAAGCACTCAGTTTAGCGAATTTGTACCAAAATTCAGCACCACTAGTAACAACGTCGTTGCATGTGGAGTAGGGAGACTTGTCAACACCTTTCAGAGTAATTGAAACGTTGAAATAAAATCAATCGCATAAAGGAGAAAACAATCTATGCTAATTTCACTTGAGATAGACTGGGATACCATCGATAACAACCACTAGACCACATCCCCAAAACACGCAACTCAAATTTCTACCAAAACTTTCAATGGCTTTATTAAAACAAATTCAAACACATATAGTACATGTGAATCTTAGATGATTGCACGCATATTCTTGAAGAAAGCTGCGCACATCTGACACCAATTTCACAAAGATTTTCATCAGTTCTGTTTATGTCTGACATATCTGTAGCTTACTTCATTGGATTCTAAAGAATTCCATGTACGAATACTATTCATTACAAACCTTAAATTCAGCCTTGAAGGGAATATATATATACTTTAATAGCAAAAAATAAAATTTACACTTTTAATTTTTCTGTATATGTACTCCAATATAGCATTATGTTTCAGTAATTAAGTGCATTTAAAATAAAAAATACTTCAAATTTTTGGATTCTCCACTGTATTCAACAGCTAAATATACAGAAACGTATTAGACTTTTCGTTCAGACATAATATTAAAATAGACAAACTATAGTGCAACGAAATATTGTATAGAAATTATACTACTTCAATGTACAAATCTCGTATATATATATATTTTATATAAGGATAGAATTCGCTCCAAGAATGTGTATATCAAAACTTAGAATTACTTAAAATAGTTCACATAAATATAGCTATGGAGGCTGGGATGTGATGAAATATTATTGTAAAACTCTTCCTAAACTCTTTCTATAGATAGATAGATTACTTTGCTGCCAAAATTTATTTAGTTGGCTAATTTTAGATTTAGTTGATATGGGACATGCAAAATCATGCCAATTGTTATAGCAGATAAKTTTTTCACAAACCCTGTATAGAGTTTTCTTTAACTTAGAATACTTTGTCTGAATTTTACTAAATATTGAAATAGGCATCTTCGTCTAATTTTACATATTATTATTAATCTCATATATAGCCTGCTAGAGGCAAAAACTTCTTTATGAAAAACATTCCTCTACTTATATGTAAGCAGAAAAGAGCTCACTTGAGCCCTATTCAAATTTTACTAAAGTCCTACTTTCATACAATTTAAATTAAGAGAAAAATACCGTCAGTTTGACGCTTTACGGTGAGTATAACTTGATTTTTACAGCTTCAAGACGGTTTATCCCCGCTGAATATTCCTCCAGTTCTTCATGAAAATATACGTAGCACTTGAATGACTTGTTTCTGGCACACGGGACAGGCCGAGTTTTCCTCTCGAATTTTATCAGCACACTCCATACAAAAAAGGTTGTGGCCACAAGGCACCAGAGCTGCAACCACCTCGCTTTCATAACAAATAACACACTCTTTTTTCTTGTCTTTCGACGCTGGCTGATTGTTGTTCGTCTCTCCATTGACTGATGTTTTGGTTCCGATGACATCTACTACAGTCGTTGTAGTGCCAATCACTCCAGCCGTGCTGGACCCGTTTGCAAGAGATAAAGCCTCGGTGTTAGCAGAGCTCGAAATCTGCGAAGTGAATGGAGTAAATGCTTGCAGAGTTGAAAACGTGCCACCCAGTGGTTCACTTTTCAGTCTTCGTGGAGCAGTTGGGCTTGCAGGTCTAGCGATCGAATTCTGCAAGTTATGTACATTAGCTGCGTTGAGACTGGAGGATCTTGAGAAGGAGCCAGCTACGTTGTTCACTGGAGCCCATATGGAAGGTGATGGTGGCGTTGGAGCAGGGTCGAATCCTCCAGATCCACTGGAGTTACCATCAGAGCTGGCATCTTTGTCTGTAGGAGAAGGAAAATCGCTGAAAAAGAAGCCATTTGGCGAGAATGGGCTGTTGATTGGATTGAAGCCATCGTTGTTAATCTTGGAAGAACTATTGCCATAGTAGAAAGAATCGCTTGACTGAGAGCGAGCATGGCTAGAGTCACGAAAAGAAGAAAAGCTAGACTGTGAACCGCTCGAATAGATGGATCCATTGCGAAAATCATTGAAGGAATTGAGATCTCCGTTATGGAAAACACTGTCATCATTGGCATCCATCAGTCCTCCAGTCCGGTTTGAAATATGATCAAGAATCTCACTCCGTGCACTTTCAACGTTATCAGCAGCGCCAGTAACTTCAAATACTGGCTCTTTATCTCTTGAAGGAGTGACAATATATGTATTAGTTTGTTGCTGAATACGCTTGATAGTAGCTCCTTTTGGGCCAACGACGAGGCCTACAACTCGATATGGCACTCTTACGTGGACCGTAGTGTGGCCTGGAATGCCTGGAGACGGTGGACCAGGAGTGAGTGAGTTTAGGCTATTATTTTTCCTCTGAGCACGTATTTGCGAAAAGTGCTCTGCAGCAGAAACTATTTCCCGTTTGGCCAGAGTAACGTCTTCTTTTCTTCCAGTAACGACGAACACGGGATCCTCTCCACGTACAGGTGTTTTGATATAAGTATTCGTCTTGGCTCGTAGCGCCTTTATCTTGCATCCTGAAATCCACAACACAACACAAAAACATGTCAGAAACACGAGGCTTGCTGCAGACAAGTTTGGCTACTGAGCCCTAAGTTAATTCGATTACCGCTTAAGTGAGAGAAAAGGAACTTCAAAAATACATACCTTGACGGCCTACGATTTCTGCTACGTGTTCTGAGCTTGGAACAGGAACACATTCTGTCGTATTCATACTTTTCTTGGAGGAGCGAATGTCGTCAAACGAGTTGGGAGTTGAATCATCGTCGTTTGTAAGTCCTAACATAGAAAGTTCGAGAGCAATTTGTAATGCACGCTGATCTGCTTCCAGTTGCCCCGTGCTTGAGCGTTCCATATCTTGTATTAGTGAGCTAGGCATATGGGAAATCGTTTTCGTGAGAGCGTCGAGATGCTCCTCTCTTCTGAACTCTGCTGGAGTGTTTGGATCGAAGAAAACAGCACTACGATCCGTCTCCTTTTCCCGCAACTGAAGGCCGGATTGTACGTCATAGATTTTGACCCGAATACAACCCATAATGTCCTACTCATTTGCAACATCTGGCGCACGTGGTATCGAGGCTGCGCTCTGATTGGTTCTTTTAAACAGGAGGTGTTGTAGCTTGTCATTTACGAGACCGCCTCGTTAGCCGACCGTCAAAGTGTTGATTAGGAGAGTTTAATGCCTCACGCCCCAGAATAAGGCTTAAAAGAACTATTCCTTGCTCGGGAAAGCTTAAACTTTAATGCTGCATTCTACTGGGACCTTGAAATAACTCGAGCTGAAACAAACTAAGCGAATTTAGCCAAAGTAAACATCACGCACGTTGAAATTTGAGCCCGAGAGTGACTCGGTTAATACAAATTCTTTCAATAGTGTTTTGTCATATTGTATAATCACACCCAATATGCAAATGAGCTACTTTTTGTTTATGATCAGTAACTCCATCTGCTTGCAATGCGGAATGTAACATCAAAATATTACAATCATCATAATTTCCTACCCTAAACTAGTATCCGAAAGCTGCTAGTTCGATTTACGGCTTGGAAAACAACTATTAGAGCGAATAGGAGTAGAATTAAATCGAGCAAAGGGATAGTCGTAATGTGTGCAGGTGAAAAGATTCCCTGTGTGCAAGGACAGTTTACCCACAACAAACAATGCTAGCATTTGTATGGCTTTCTCCAGATTCCCCCTGGTGGGTCTAATTATACGCAATCTTTTGTATATAATTTTTTTTACTATGATTGAATCGCTGACATTAATCATCATTTATATGCGGAGAAATTTGATGGAAGGTTTGAATAATGTACGTGTCACACTGTTGGGAATAACTTTTGTTTTGCCAGCGTATGTTATTAGGGTTTGAAGCAAATTCTATTGGTAGGCGAATATGTGATTGTGTTTATAATCTTATGGAAATTTCAAGCACGTCTGAAACGGACACGTCGCAAGAGGATTAAATTGTAGTAACGCCGTTTGAAATCAGATCACTTCATTTCCTCAGCCTTAGATTTATTTTATTTTTATTTTTATTTTTATCGAGATATTGTGGACGCTATGCTTGATATGTAGAATAGGCGGCTTCAGGGTTAATGATATTTTATTCATTGAGCAAAGCCCTCTTACACAGGCATACATAAATGATATTGGCTGACTGAATATGTTCATATGAAAAAACATTACTGTGTTTCGCGCCACAGCATTTGACAATAGTTCGTTAACGATTCTAACAAAGGTATTCTCTTTTTTCTCAACGCGGCTTCAAACTCGGCTGCCTCTTAAAACGCTTTAAAAGACAAAAGTTTTTGCATTTCAAAGAATGACATTTTGTTTGTAGTGGGACCTGCATAAACTGGTCGTGAATTGATGCAAAACACGTGGCTACTGCAAATAGTTGAAAAACTTCTCAATGTGCGGGATAAAAAGTACGAAAATAGCATCGCCATCGCCGGGCCACGTTTTCCGGACAAGCAACTTCTTGTTCCTTCCTGAGAATCGACTTCTTAGCCCTTTTTAAGCTTGAGTATAATTCCTTGAACACTTCAAAAAAGGAGCTCGACTTCAAACAAAAGATTCAATTTCACACTAGCAGAAAAAAAAAGCCTTAGAAATCAAAGGCCTTTGAAATGGCGCTTTTCTTTTTTGATTTTATTGTTGTCATAAAAAAGGCCATCCAGGATCAGAACTCCAAATTATAGCACAGACATCTGTTTTTATTATCTTGTGTTTTGTTGTTTTTAACAACCTCTATGTGATTTTAAATCAAGATAAGCCATGATTCTTTTGGTACTTCTCCAGGCTACCAACATCATAGCACAAAATCATAAAATATAAAAGAGATTTCGTACTGTGCGCGTCGTCTATGGTGTCGCTAAAGAAAACATCTCTTGATTTGCGCAGCGCTGTGAATTGTTTTCACGTACATTGCATTAAAAGCACTCACTCTGGCTAGAATTCGATAGAAAATAAGACTTATCCATCAAACATTTGACGTAAAGGTCGCGCTAAAGTGTTCTAGTTGGCTAATCCAATCGCTCCAAGGCGATCATCCTGCATCTTATTATCGAGCATAATAAGTCATGTACGAGGCTTGGGTTAACAAAAGAAAACTTAAGGTTTTGGTCTAAAGAGAAGCAAAGTAGGCGTGAGAGATAATAAATCCTTTAATAGACTGATGACAAGATGAAATGAATCAAGTAGGAATCTCAAGAGATTTCAGTCCCAAGGGACCACTACTATAGACTAATTATTTCTCGGAGTAGCGTCACGRAAAAAAATAGCATTACTTCATGAAATTCAGAAGTTCTGCGTAAAATGACCTAGTTTTTAAATTAGAATCATTCTCGAACTTTTCATTTTCTTAGTTTGGTCTATAAATTGAAAAAGGAGGGTTTTCACGACCTCGCGAAATGGTCGCGTTTGTTCTGACATTTAATTTTGATATTTTTGATTACTTTTAAACACCTCGAACTATAAGATACCCAACACAACACTTAAACACAACCGTGAATAAACGCTCGTCTAAATAAAATAATATTTCCAGAATTGAGAAGTAATTAGAAAAATGGAGAAAAGAATTTCATCATCAAGTGCCTTCACCGACAACTACATTTGCCTGACATTTGGTATTGATTCGTGGTCGCAGTGATTTCTTAACCAAAGAATGACGTTGTTCTTTCTCGACGTTTTTAAACCGGAAATGGTCGACGTACATAGTTATCCCACGTTGACAGAAAATAATGCAAATAAATGAACAAAACAGTCTGGATACGAAATCATCTTTATCACATTCCCGACAATTTKAATGACACACAACGAGCGTTAATACGGCACTGCGTTACAAAGTTGATCGATGACCTAGGATTTAAAAATACTCAAGTCCTAAGGGCCATCTTTTAAATCTTTAACAACTTTCACTGACTGACCTTGGTATAATTTATTCGGTCAAAATAAAGGTTACGGACGCTTGATTTTCACCGTAGACGTACACGTAAACCACCCCCACACCGACAACCCTGAGAATCAAAATTTGTCTGTATTTTTGCTTAAGGGGCGCTGGTTCCTTTAATTATTTATAAACAATTTTATAGCCACATTTCGATTTGAAAATTAATTTRTATTTTCTTAAGGGTTGGATTGGACGAAAAGGACTGCGGATCGTAAAGATCGCGCGCGCTTTTTTCAAAGCTATTYTTTACCTTTCTAGTATATTTATTTTATAAAATATTTCCATGAACACTAGGACTACAGTCAGGATTACAGTATTGTTAATATTGTTAAGTATAACATCAGGATATAAACCGCAAAATGCTCAAGCGGAAACACCTGACATCATCTCCCTACTGAGTGTGTTTCATCTCAGCAGCGGGTATCAGTGATCCTGAAGACTGTATTTTGACGTTGTGCTTCAATATACACTTGAAAACATATTCCGTTTTATCACGGAATGTTTACATGAACTTGTTGCTGATTTCATTCGCCCGCGAAGCCGACTCGAAGCTGTGAACCAAAAAGAAGAAAGGAGAATCCCAATATAATGGGAAACTTTTGGTCGTGACTCTGCAAAGACTTCCCTTTAAGTGTGACTTTGCAATGGCTTCCCTTTAAGCCAATTACAAAGCACCAGGGAAGAGGCACCATGCCATCCTGACTGCCGGCTCAAAATTTTCATCCGATTGAAAGCCAGCGGTTTGCCTATGAGTGGGAAACGTACGATGCCAGTCTTACTAAAGGTACACGGTACGACATGTCAACATTTAGATGGCTTCCCTTTAACTTCCAGTAATTAATCCGATCAATAACACATAGTTACGGCTAAGTTAAAATACGTGTTGCCGTATCGTTTTGCACTCATACGAAAACCAATATTACTCGTGAGGTGGGGACGAATGATGCAGTTATCTCGGAAGGTAGACTCGAGTTACGCACTTGGTTACATAAAAAATAACTGATTTGTCCGTGTGATATAATCATTATACTCTAGACTGAGTTAATGTTACTCCGGTACTGATTAGTCGTCGATTCCTGTGTCAAGTCGGTACATATTGGTTATCTTGCTAATCAAACGTGGGTGAGCATTGAATCAAACTTTTAACAACTATGCCTTGGGGATCGGGCCAAATAAAACGGATAAGGAGAGCAATAAGGACCCTTCCTATTCCCCCTCGCTCCTCAGCCATCCCCAAATCCTTCAACAGTTCTCTACACTCGACCCGCTGATGCTCTGGTGTGGTGCGGTATGAAGTCTAAGTCATAGCGAAAATTTTGAACATAATGAACTAAGTCTAAAGTACGTTATTGTTATTGGTGTTTAAGTTGACGTACCGATTAAATTCTTGGCATTGACATTGTGAAATAAAGGTTTCTCAACTAAAACTTCACTGATTTTTATCGCTCAATTTTATTCCTTCGATATAGTCTGTATATACATTGATTAAAAGATATACTTTATTTGTTTGAACTTTTAAGGAAGCATTTTATTAGCTCGCTAAATATATTTTACCCTCTCTTCTTTTTTTTAAAATATTTATTAGTATTTTTGAATTTTCATTTATTTTCAATTTTTAAAAAAAATATATAGTCTTTAATCAATAATTAATAATAACAATAATCTCTAATCAATAATTAATAATTTTTAAATATTTATACATTTTTTCAAGATTGTAAAAAAACGAATAGAATTTGTCCATTATTTAAATATGAATATGTT